CAGCAGCCTTGGCCGCAGCAGACAAGTCACTTTCCGAGACCCGTCTCTTCTTCGACGAAGGGTCACTGGTAGGTGCAGAGCCCGGCTGCTCTTCCTTGCTAGGGGCGATAACATTGCGCGGTCGTAGTCCAGACCGACGCTCGCCGCTGTCTTTGCACTTTTCCGTCTCATCACGCGAGCGCTTTCCCAGGACGCTGGTCGCCCGGTCCACCAAGTCCGATGCCTTCTCCAAGAGGCTCAACCGCGATGAGCGTCGGGTGGGCTTTGGACTGCTCTCCTTGACAGCCTCCAGGATGGTTGTAACCTTCTCCTGCTCCTTCTCGTCCTGGGTCAGCACCCGTTCCACGCGCTTGCGGAGACTCCGTCGCTGCACAGACGTGGTAATGTCCTCGGACGGCGGCTCCTGGGATGATTTCTCGGAAGCCTGCGTCTCCGGGGTCATGGGGTGGTTGCCAAGGCTCGACTGCTCATTGGCCCAGAGGGTTGTTTCCATTACCGCTATGCTGTGGCGGAGGTGGGAGGCGGAGGAAGAGGATGATCGCTTCGGCTTCTCCGCAACGGAGGGTTCGCCTTGACCGGCAAGTGATTGATCGTTCTCGTCTCCAAGAGAAGAGCCATTGTGTTTACCCGCCCCAGCCAGGTCGTCTGGTCGGAGGCCCCCCCGCAGCGAAGCGCGTGTTACACGTGTTGATCGTCGGCGTTGAGTCGGTTTCTCTTCGTGGGACGCGTTCTCATTGTTGCTTGAGGTCTCGGAGCGACTGTTCTCGGGGGTGAGAAGTTGTTCGGTGTACTCGAACGTCATTGAAGTGTCTGCATGGTCATGGGTGTGTTTCTGGAGGTCCGCAAGAGTGGCGGGCGTTGCGGGAGACGCGCCGGACAACCCAGTTGAGCGTTCCATGGTGAGAATCTTGGGGAGAATCGGGATGCGGTGAGTATACGAAAGTCAAGAGTACTTCAACAGATATCAATAAATAGCGCCTGCGAGAGAGATTGACAGTCCGCAAGCAGAAGCAGTCAAATCCAAACTGGTTCTGACCTGAGGTGGGCTGTGTACGGGGAAGATGCGTGACTGATTCGGGTTGATGGAGGCCTTGTCACCAGGAGTGAACCGTATCAGAACTCAAATATCGCCCGGGTCATGATAAATCCCGCAAGAAAGAACCACGGCGCAGAAATCCCACCTGGTTGAAATGGCTGAGGGCTTGGATGGGGGAGGAAAATGGGCGAGGGCGAGGGCGAGGGAAAGGAGGAAGAGGAGGTGCGGAGAGGGTTCGAGGAGGAGGAGTTGTCCGTATTATATTATTATCTCTCACCAGCCCCGAAAGGACGGCGCCGCGGAATGCAAATGGCTCAAGAAACAAACCCTCTCAGCGTAATTCCAATCCATAGTCTCTCTGTGCTGCAGACTCTTTCTCGTGCAGGCGGGGTTATACATTTCTTATAGCCATTATCCCAACATTGCTACATACATACTTCCATGTCATGCCGCCGGACTACCTCTTATGCGGCGGCATTACTTGCCCACCTTTCGCTCTTTTTCTTGCCAATGGTTTTTTTTTCTTTTCGACGCTTCTGTGCATCGCCTCTTCGACAAGCACCAATCGTTTGTAGTCTATCTGCACAAATGTATTCGACTTATTGTACATTTAACCCTAAACATCGCGTGATATCAAGTTGGGCCGGGTAACCGGAGATATGCACCTTGAGTAAAGGTGGCGTGCCTCTAGAGTAAACAACAAGGAAAAATATCTTGCAAAGAAAGTATAGCCAAGTGATGCTTCAAATAAGCTACTGGCGCGAGCATCTCGACATATCAGAGAAGAAGGAAAAGGGTATGTAAGGCTTGAGAGTTAAAGACGCCGGATGATTCAAAGGGCTGTGGAAAAGGTGCAACAGGCATTACATCTGCAAATAGTCTTGAGGTAGAGAGAAGAAGAAAAAGAAGAGGTCGAGGAGGAAAGAAATTCAAAACGGAACAGTTTACCTGGGGTGCAACTGTAGGTTGGGTCATGAAAAAAAAAAAAAAAAAGACATGGAGCCGACGGGACCAAGGCGAAACGCAGAGTCCTAAATAAACGCCTCATTCATGAGGTTGCGAAGAAGGGACTCGCTGCATCTCGATGTCGGGCTGACGCTCAATATGGCGAGGGAGGTACTTGCGCTTTACGGTGCTCAAGCGTTGGTCACCCGCATTGTAAGTTCTCTTAAACTGCATGTAGGTCGGAGGCCGCGGTCGCAAGAGCACGGACAGCCAATTTCGGATGGCATTGCCTTGCGTGAAGGGACGATGACGATCGACCTTGGCAAACTTGTGAGAGTTCAAGTATTCTCTAGTTGTCTCGCCCCGACCAACCAGGAAGATGTGATACGTCCAGAGGGAAGCAGGATACGGCGCAGCAATTGCGCCATACAGCACCATGGCCCAAGGCACTCTCCATTTGTCGATCGCAGAGCCGAAACTGATATGTTCCTGGTTGCGGTATACCAGGATGTGAGCGAGACTGGCACCTAGTAGGAATAATGCAAGTAGCGTGGAGGATGCCACGAAGGTCAAAAAATAGCGATAGTTGCGCCGGCCCACACAGTTATTAAGCCAGACACAATGATGATCCAGAGTTTCCACGCAGTTATCACACACTCGGCAGTGATAGCAGCGCGGCGGCCGCCAGATACAGCAAGTTTCACAGTATTTAACGGGGACATCCATGGCTGCGACGTCGGACGTCGCCAGTTTGACCATCACCCAGTCATTAGTCGGCGGGCCTACTGCCAGTGGATCAACTGAAGGATCTGGTGGAGGCAACTGGTGAAGGTTTCGTGGAATTATCTGGAACAACAAATCAGCATGCGAAAGTGCAGCCTGTCCTGGAAAGACTCTTACCCCGGGATCAACCACCGAAGCATGGATAAACGACGAAAAGCATAAATAGAAGAGGTAGGCAAACAAAATCGGGATGGCAGGAGATATATGATGCCAAAGCCAGGGAGCCCTATGCGCATGGCGGTCAGTCAAGATTGTATCAGGATCCTCAAGAGCCGGGATCTCTTACGAATATGCGAAGAACAGTGCCGAGGGCACGACCACGAATATCCCAGTAGCAATATTGACGGGCTTGTCCCTCGAGTTCTGCAACCTCCCGCCGCCAAAGAATATCGTGTTGCCGACAAAGTACTCATAGTTCTTCCCCAGACGACTACGCTTACTAGTTTGGGGTTGCTTCTCAATCGACGCAGGTGTCGACCCGGCAGAAGACAGCCTCTCGTGCGCGCGATTACGGGCTTCTTGCACATGGTTCCTGTTCTGCAGCGAGAGAAAGGAAAGAGGCGATCTTTGAGGGGCATCAGGAGCATTCGGATTGCCGTGGTCCACGCCTAGGTTGAGATGTGGTGGCTTGAGCTTGTAAGCCCTCTCCCTGTCGTGGATAAGCTTTGCACTCTCGCCTATGCTCCTCCCCGTCGTATTGCCCATCGGGCTAGCATTCGACGCCGTACGGTCGGGGATGATAGGGTCTGTAAATTCGGTGCCTCTCGAAGGAGGAGGCTCTTGATCTATTGGCGGGAGAGAATCTCGAGGTGCGGTACTATTCGAGATTAGACTCTGCCGGTTCTGGCTGCCGTGCTCGCCCCATTCTTCCGAAGTGTCCGTCGTGGTTCCTTTCGTCATCGGTCGACCTCTATGGGCCTGAAGTCGCTGGGATGACATTGGACGAAAGAAGCCCTGCGCCGTTAAGGAAGGAATGTGAGATCGACTCAGTCGACTGCCAGAACTTCCAGGCCTGGTCGTCGTCTGACTCGTGGTTGTGATGGAGCTCCTTGCGGGTGGAGGAACTCGTCGGGATTCAGACGGTCGCGAGCGTGGCGGTTGTGACGACATAGCAGTAAAGGCTTGGGAATTCTCTCCGTCGTCTGAAGCCATATCGGTCACTCGCGACGATATTCCGCCCACGGAAGGGGGTCGCGGTATACCCAGCGCATGTTGCGCCGGCGGGGCATTCGGCGCATCGCTGGTCTCCGACATTGCTGGAAAGAGAAAAGTAGGTTGTTCGTATGGCGTGGTCAATGATCAGGGTTCCGTGAATCAATAGCGCGCATCAACCATGTTGCAGCCAGACAGGGGTAAATGAGGATGGGTAGATTCGATAAACTAGATACCGGGGACCGGGGATCGCAATTCTTCGGTTAATGAGTATAGAACAGGGTCGGATCGAAGTCGAACTTAAGAGGGTCTGAAGGAGTGACAGAAAAAATCGTAGATCAAAGTAGAAGTGATTGAATAATCGGAAATGAGCGTAAGCAACCTAAAGAGAGCATTGGCCGATTAGTTTCGCGGACAATTAATTTCGAGTTATATCGGGGGTCGGGAGGAGAGGGCTTGGGCCAACCCCTGTCCAAGGTAAATGAACCCAGGGCAGGAGAGTTGTACTGTAGCACCGAACAAACGGACCTGGAGGAGGGGATGTAGAAGGGGATGGAGAGGAGGAGGCCTTCTTAGCAACCGGAGCCCATCATAGTACGATCGCAAGGGCGATCATGACCTGAGGGTGGGTGATGGTGGTGGGCTGTAAGGAAGCGTATAAGCGTCACGGGGAATACCTAAGGCACAGCCAGCCAAAAGGTCGCGACTGGGCAATGGCGGCCTGAGGAAAGAAAAGTCGAGGACGTCGGCTTGCAGTGCCTGCCCGGGACCGACCGACCGACCGTATGATACTCCACTCCGTCACTGCGTGCAGCCTGAGCAGCCTGAGCAGCCCTATTGTAGCCTGACAAATAAGGTAACAACGGGCTCAGCTCAGCTCAGCTTGAGCAGCTGAGTCAGCCCTTCCATAGCACCAGAGTCAAAATCCCGCTGGCCAACGGGATGTCACCTGATGATGCGCCGGCAACATCATCGTCCGACACCCACCGATTCTCAACCCACCCCCCCAGCCAAATCAAACCCACACCTCATACTCTTTTACCCCAAACAAGGGCTGATACACATTCAACTACAACCCACCACAATGTCCTCGATCGCTGCCATGGCCTCTCGCCGGGCCTTCGCCCGCCAATCCCTCCTCCGCGCTCCCCAGCGCCGCTTCCAGTCCTCCAAGCTGGAGCAGGCCAACCTCGACAAGGCTCCCAAGCGTGACCCCGAGCTCTACGTACGGCAGCCACTCTCAATTGAAAACGCGGGCCAATTTCCTAACCAGCATTACCCCTTTAGGTCCTCCTCGGTGTCATGTCTGGTGCTTTCCTGCTTGCCGGATGGTAAATCCCCTCCTGTCCGCACGACGACACACGAATTCGCTGTTGCAAAATTGGCCTTCTCCTCCTCCTCCTCCTCCCCCGAGGCCGTTCTTTCACACACATCGCAAACTCAATTGCACTTCCACCACAACCCTGGTCAATTTTCCAGCTACTCTGTGCTAATGTGTTCCTCAAAATGCAGGTACTTCGGCCGCAAGCCCACCTCCGTCACCTCCGAGAGCAACGTCCGCATCGGCGAGAGTGCCATGCCCTGGGAGCAGACCGATGCCGAGGGCAAGGTCTACAAGTACCAGTACCACCCCCACGGTGACAAGAGCCAGCCCCTGCGCAACGCTCCCAGTGCCTTGAACACTGTCATCGTTCCCAACGTCACTCTCCCCGCCGTAAGTAGCCGCTGCTTTTATTTAAGAGCCTCCCCCCCTTCCCATGTACTCGGTTTTTGGGCATTGAAAGAACAAGGTTGCTAAATCCTCTAATGCTAGGACCTTCACGAGCGCTTCAACAAGTACGGTAAGGAGGAGTGGGACTACTAAACGGTCCCGCACCATGTGGAAGGGATTTGATATATGAAGTGAAGTTGAGGCAACATCGGCAACTGACCGCTGTACACTAAAACTTGTGAAGATGTGAAGATGTGAAGATGTGAAGATTAGAGTGGGAAGTTTATGTGGGAAAGGAGAGAGAGAGTACTGATAACAGCTTTGTGCATAGTTCTTTTTTTTTGACGAGATTCTTTTTTTGGAAGACTATCGTTTCTGTTCTTGTTTCGTTTCACAAATACCTGATCCTTTAAAGTGTAAGATGTCATAAGTAGTAGAGTACTTCATTGATCTCGCAAACAGGTGTTCATGTACAAAAAAGTCACATGTCGTTAGTCCAATGAGGAAAGAAAAGATTACTGTTGAAGAAAAGTACAGGAAAGTAAATAGGCAGAGCTAAAGATCGGATGAAAATACAAACAACCCCCAACTAAATGCTCCAAGTCTATTTCGTTCAAGATTTAGTCGCCTCATTCACCTCACTGGCCGGCTTAGGGTCCACGGAGCCCTTTAGTTCCTCGGAGCTACCGTGCCCAACTACTGAAGCTGGACCTTCCTCGACATCTTGAGGCTGATGTCTTTGGATGGTTTCGGGGTTCTGGCCCTCAACATCCGGATGCGGCGGAGCAAACTCGATCTCACCGTCAACCATATCAACGAGATGACCCTTGTCCAAGCGAGTCGAGGTCTCGTGTCGGGTCTCGAAGGACACCTTGCCCTCCTTTCTCAATGAGGCAACGAGCTCCTCGTCCAGGATGTTGCCATCCTGATCGCGGTATTCTACTCGTGCCTTGGTGCTGTGACGGGCCCGAGGCGTAACCGCAGGCTCTTGAGGCTCTTCCTGAAGAACTTCCTGAGCATGCTGTTGAGGCGCATCCTGAGGTGGGGCCACAACGGGAGGGGCCTGTGGAACAGATGTCTCCGTAGGCGGAATAGCCATGTTCGCGTTACTATCAACGTACTGAGTCACGTAATGGCTAAGCTAAGGCGATATGTCAGTCATGGCACCCAGGAGTATTAAAGCTTCTCAGCCCTAGGTTAGGGTACCTACATCGGTGTAGAAGGTGTTGCAGTCGAAGTCCCAGGTATCCAAGAGCTTCACTTGTCTGCAAGCTTCCTGGGTCCAGGGGTTACCGTAAACCAAGGGCGAATAAATGACGAAGGTGAAGATGCTAAGGGTAAGGAATAGACCAGCCAGGATCTTGCCAATCACAGGTTTGGATGGCAAGCCAAGCGATCTAACGCGATTGGCGACGAAATCGAATTCCTGACAGAGTGCCATGATCGCAAAGTACAGCGCCGGGAAATAGTGGTGCAAGAAGAGCTGCCGGGCCATGAGATAGAAAGGGAAGTAGTGGAAAGCCCAGCCGAGGACAGTGGTGCCAATCTCGTAGTCAAAACGCTTGAAGTTAACGTTGCGATAGTCACCGCAGCTCCGCTGCCAACGAAGGACAGAAACGCCCTTGAAGAGAAAGTAGACTGCGATAGCCACAGTCGACGACCACCAGATGAACGGATTACCAAGGAGGTAGACCTGACGGTGGTCTTTGCCCCAAAAGTTGATACCGCGGAGTAGGGTAGGCCACGAGGGAGGGCGAGAATCCCAGGCGTGCGATTCCGTGAGACCGGCATTCGTCACCCACATCACCTTCTGTAGTTCGAAAAACTTGCCGAAAAATCCAGGGTTCTTGTAGTTAACCTTCTCCGCATCTTCAGCCAGCATCGGGTGGTTGTTGGATTCAATATACCAGACACTGTTTGGTAGCGTGGCTCCCCTGGCGCAAGTAACCTCCTGCTGATCGAAGCCCCACTCAGGAAGCTTGACCTTGTGAGAGAACAAAACGCAGTTAGTCATGACGTGTACAAGGCGGAATTTAGTTTGAATAGTCCGAAGCCGCTTCTTGGCTTCTTCACCATCGGACATTGACTTGACGATCTCAACGCGGAAGAGATCGTTTGCGTCGCCAGGAAAGCCGTCATATCCGTATGCTGAGACCTCAAATTGCCAATCAACATCAGTCACGGGGGGGCGCTCATCGTGCGAATGGACTCGCCGGCGCGTGACAAAGTGGTTAAGCTTGATAGTAGCGCCGTCTTCGATGTATTCAGCGGTAATGTTGTCCCAAGCCAGAGGACCTTCCACCGTTCCATAAGGACCCAAGGGCTGTGTCTGGTTCTCGAGAATGAAGACGTTGTTTTCGTCCTTGTGGGGGTAAAGGGTGATCTGTTGCTGCTTGCTTCCCGTAGGGTACATGTGGTTGTGAGAGTGCAGGTAGCCTCCCTGTGTGTTGAGGTGGCGCAGGGAGACACGAGAGCCGAAGACAACGTCTGCAGGAACGTCCTGCATAGATTTCGAATTTAAGGTTGCCTGGAATTCCGAGGACATGAACCCGTCTCCATCTCCAGGGTTGACCAAGCACAAGAAGTGGATTGCGAACATCCCGCAGTAAAACGTCAGCGGGATGATGATAAGACAGAAAAAGCGGGCAAAGAAATGCTTGAACCAAAGACGCTAGAAAACAAGATATTAGCTTCTCACACGGGTGGAGCATAGGGTTCCATTGCATACCGGTGTGACATTGACCGTGTCGCCGAGCAGCACCCAAAGTTGGAGAACAGTGAGCGATCCAACCCACGCAACAGTGAACAAACCAACCCACTTGACACTCAGAGTAGCACCCAAGGCAAGACCAGACGCGACCAGCCAAAACCACCAGGATCCACGGAAAGCATGCGATGGCCCCATTTCATGTTGATTGGTGAAACATGTGAACGACAAAGCCGTGAGCGCGGTGAAGAATACCAACGGAGAATCCAAGAGAATCAGACGCGATTGAGTGATTAGACCGTTTTCTGAGCCGAGTTAGCAGACATTATCCAGCCGCCGCTGAGCCATTACTCACCGAAGATGACAACACCGGCGCCCAAAATAGCCGAAATAGTGCGGCAGCCCGACGCCTTTAGCGTCAAGAACATCAACGGGACTGTCAGAACACCCAGGATTGCTGGAAGCATCCGCATCGCAACATAAGGCACCCCGGGCTCGAGGTAGTCCTTGCCAATGTCCTTAAAGTCGAACTCGCCATCGAAGCCTGCAAGCCAGCCAGCCAGTGTGAGGAGAAGTTTAGCAAGCGGAGGATGGACATCCATGAAAAAGCGGCCTTTGATATATTTGGAGGCGAAGCCACCGAAACTGTTCATGAGATCGTCAGACGGGAGTTGTTCTATAAACTATGCGCAACGGTGATAATCTCAAGACATACTGGACTTCATCGAAGACAACGCTGGAGGGCTGGTAGATCCGGAACAGACGAACCACCGCAGCCACAATGGTCACTACGACCAATGTCTTGTAGTCGGAGGAGGGGAGCTTGAAGATGTTGTTGTCCGTAACACCTTCCGAGGCGTAACTGGGTGCCCGCACAGTCACATTTTTGCGACTTTTCGGACCCGGAGAGCGACTTGAAGAGCGTAATTGCGACTTTGGTGGGGGTTTGACCTCCAAGGTGTTCTTAGATTGGGACGCCATTGTTAAGGCGCTTGAGAGTTGGTAGGCTCAAGGAGCGAGGAGGGGACAGGTTCAGAGGGTCGGGTGAAACAAACAATAACCCGATTAGATCATCCAGATATTGCTGCGGGCCAGCGAAATGACGAAAGCCGTGCAGTCAATTGCTCCAACTCCAGGAGGGAGCCTTGGAATAGAAAAAGCCCGGCGCTTGGTGCAGCAGGGATAGATTTGAGATCGGAGAGATCAAAGAAATAAAAGGAAAAGAAAAGAGATCAATGAACGAGTGTAAGAATTAAAAAAGAAGAAAGGCCATGACAGCGGGGGAAGGTGGAAGCAGCAGCAAGAAAGGTAAAGGAATGGGGTGGTGGTGGTGGTGAGGAGAAGATGGATGGAGAAAGAGGGCAAAGACAACACGTGTGGGACGATTAGGGAGGCGGGATGAAAGCGTAGTTGACCGGTTTGAGGCCAGATCGTCGGGTTAACTTTAGTGGTAAGTATCCCGTAGCTGCGTAGTAGTTAGCCTCGTAGGGGATTAGGAATAGACTAAGTAAAACTGCCCGTCAGCAAGAGAAAGCGACAGGGAGAGAAGCATCCATCCATCCATTGAAGCATGCAGTTCCGATCGGTGGCTGGCCTGCTGCGGCGGCTGGACCCTCCTTCCGCCCCGATGCAAACAGTACGTATGCACTGCCTCCCAGCCAAATGGGGGCGGCAATGGTCACGATACGGAGGAGTTGGGGCACAATTCTCTATACAATGAAATGCACTGTCCTGACTGGCCTTACTTCTTTGTTGAATCTATTTTGCATACTCCGTACAGTGCTCAATTTGTATAAGCATAATCAATTCCATGGCAATTTCATCACGAGGATCATGGTATGGCCTCGGACAGGAACCGTTCGTCCGCTCTAAGCCTAGACTCCCGGCTTTCCGCCAGCCAATCACACTTCATCTCTGCTAGCCGCGCGGAACCTCTCATCAAGTTCACCGCCCGCGCTTAGTCAGTGCGCAGCAACCGCCGGCCGGGAAGAGACTCGCTATAGATGAAGTCCAGCCCGAAAAGGACATCCCGACGCCCGCAAGACCACTCTCGCATCTCGGATTTCTGTCTCTTCAACAGACTGATATCCCCTCACCGGCTTGAAGTATGGCCGCCGTTAGTAATGGAAGTACTCCGTTACCAGAAGATGTGAACAAGCCCCCGGAGGGTGTGGTATTGCCACCCAAGGATATTCGAGGTTAGTCCTAGCTTCGGCCAAAACCCGTCCGCAAGTATTCACACTGACAATCTCAACAGCAATTGTCGAGAAGACCGCCGGATACGTTGCTCGAAACGGTCCTGTGTTCGAAGGTAAGTTCTGGCTCACCGATATCATGGCCCCAAGCTCCGACTCCGACCTCTAACACATTTCGCCTTTTCTCCAGATCGTGTTCGCGAGAAAGAGCGAAACAACCCCAAGTTCTCTTTCCTCAACCCCGACGACGCATACGGCCCATTCTACCAATGGCGCCTCATAGAGATCAAGGAAGGGCGAGGCTCGACTGCGCTCGCAGGTCGTCCCGGCGAAGCCAGCGCGGCCGCGGAGCCTGAGAAGCCCAAGGGCCCCCCCGAGCCCCCCGAGTTCCACTTCTCCGCCCGGATGCCCATCATCAACGCGCAGGACCTCGAAGTCGTCAAGCTGACGGCGCTGTTCGTGGCCCGACGCGGCAAGTCCTTCATGACCGCCCTCTCCCAGCGCGAGGCCCGCAACTTCCAATTCGACTTCCTCCGCCCGCAGCACAGTCTCTACTCGTTCTTCACGCGCCTCGTCGACCAATACACGATCCTGCTCCGTGCGGAGGGCATC